TTAAAAACGGCAAGTCTTGGCACAATTGTCGTCATTATTTTGGGAAGATGGCAAAAAATTTTGGCCAATAACGTGCACAGTAAACCCAAAAACTTTATTGTGCACCCCATTTCCGATCATTTCCCGCGCTTTTCTTTTCGCTTTTTCGATGAAAATGGAGGCTCGATTATCCTCGATGGGGCTTCACAGTTGGGCCTGTAACTTTGTAGTCGTTGACTGCAGACTGATGAAATTTTATCAACTTATAGAGTGGACATTTAGCTTTACAGCAATATAAAAATTGTTATTTAATGTTACAGTATAGCCAAATCCGCCTTGATTTTCCTGAAAAAACACAAAAAATCCAAAAGTTTTTGAAGTTGGGTTTATAAGTCAGCTGAAAATTGAGCTAGAATTCTGAAATTAACGCAACGTGTTCTATGCAGTAGCGCCTTGGATAATTTGAAAAGACGGCATAATATTTTGATGCGTATCGGATACTGTAAGCCCGGAAATCTTTTTGGGGGCGCCTTTTTTCGAACTTTTCTGTCCACAAAAGCGAAGGAAGAAGGGAGAGATACGGTACAAAATGCGTGCATAAAAAGATTTCCGAGGTTACAGTATCCGCTACGTGTTGAAATGTTATACCCTCTTTTTAAATTATGAAAGGTGGTACTTCATAGGACACCCAGCTTTAAATTGAGCATTCTAGCTTACGGTTCAGCAGATCTATGAGCCCAAATTTAAAAACTGCGGATTTTTTTGTGTTTTCAAGCGGATTTCTTATTTTTTTGAAGTAAAATGAAAGCGGCTTTGGGTATACTGTAATGTTTAATGACGATTTTTATATTCATAGAAAGCTAATTGTGTACTCTATAAACCTTGCGAGTTTCATCAACTTGCGACCACTGGCTCAAAAGTTATGGCTCCAACTTTGAGACCTACTCCAGGTTTTGGATCAAGAGGAACGGTTTTTCTCGGACTCTCTCGCTAATTCGAGATCTTTTCGCTTCTCTGACCAAAAGGTACGGAAAAAACGTACGCTCTGTTAGTCGGACAGCTCCCTGAAGCAAGTTTTTCCCGAAGAGAATCAAAGAATTTTCATCCCGGGGTCGCTTTACCCCATTTTGGGTCGCAATCGATGCGGGGTCGCAATCGATGCGAGGTCGCAATCGAGCGGGGTCGCAATCGAAGGATTCCCGCTGCGTTCGACTAAAAGAGCGTGCTGCAGTGTGCGCCGCGACAAAAAGTCTATGCGCAGTGTCACTTTCATATGCCCCTATCACAGTCGGCGGCAAAATCCTCATAAAATTAATGAAGGGTGTCGGGAAAATAATGAACATTCTGTCGTTGCGCCGAACGCGTCGCTGAATTGAAAAGCAATTCGATTTTTCCGCGACACGATTCATTTTCTCCCAAGCGATGTGATTTTCGCTACGACAGACTGTTCATTGCTTTCCCGACAAACGTATTTAATATTACGTCGGCACTTCATCGGAAGCAACAATAAAAATAAATTAAAAAACAAACTAAAATTCGCTCACAATGGGACTTCACAAGTCCTCGAGGGGGTTTAAAAAGCAAAAAAGAAATCTTTGAGGAATTTCCCGCGAGCTTTCGAGAGATCCTGTAACCCCGCAAGATCGCACTTTGAACCACAAAATCGTCTGGACAAGACAACATTTTTGAAGTGGCCAAGGGGATGAAGGGAGCGAAGATAAAGGGGGTTTTGAGGGGTTTGCAACATCTGTTGAGATAGTCAAGTTGTGATAAAGATCACATTTTTTACATTGTTAAAATAAAGGGTCTTTCAAGAAATGTGCAGGAAAGTAGGAGGCTATAACCTTCGGCGGAGGCGGCGCAGAGAGTTCGTTTTTGGAATATGTATTTTTCAGTGACATTATTTTTTGCCTACGAAATAACAAGCTTTTAGAGTGCAAACTGAGGTCGCTACGACCTTCTGAAGTAGAGGCATCTCTACCCCGAAAACCAGGTTTTTTCGGTTGAAAATCACCAAGAAATGTCGGATTTTTTCAGGGGTTCCGATAGAGTTGACGTTGAAAAAAGGGAAGGATGTTGCCAACACGTTGGAAATTTAGCAAATATTCGGCTAGCCTCAACTTGGGGCAGATTTCGAGTTTATTTTTCGGTATCTTCCGCGAAGAAGCGTGACGTCATTTAGGGATTTGAGGAACCTGGAATCGGCTAGCCAAGGCACCAGAATGGCTGTGAAGTCTTATAAAAACTAGTCAAAGGGTGTAATGGGCGTCAAAGGACAGGAATGACAACCAAACTTTTAAACTGCTAACAAAAACTGGTTGGCTAGCCAAAGTGTCAGAATGAAGAGCAGCCGAATATTTGCTTAATTTTCAACGTGTTGGCAATACCCTTCCCTGTTTTCAACGTCAGCTCTATCGAAACCCCCCAAAAAACCCGACATTTCTCGGTGATTTTCGACCGAAAAACTCTGAAATTTCTCTATCATTTTCAAACGAAAAACCCTGGTTTTCGGGGTAGAGATGCCTTTACTTCAGAAGGTCGTAGCGACCTCAGTTTGCACTCTAAAAGCTTGTTATTTCGTAGGCAAAAAATAATGTCACTGAAAAATACATATTCCAAAAACGAACTCTCTGCGCCGCCTCCGCCGAAGGTTATAGCCTCCTACTATCCTGCACATTTCTTGAAAGACCCTGTATGTCAGAAATTTTGGGATTGGTAAAATACGACGTGCTCAAGAAATCAAAGATACGTATGGGGATTTATGAGAACATTACAAAACTGGATGCGCTGATTTTGATGAAAGTTATATGCGAGATTTTTTGCTTGCTTGCATATCAAATGTTGGTCGGTCAATCGCAGCGCCGCTATATCAGTCTGTCGGGAAAATAATGGCGGATGGGCGCACCTTGGAATCGCCCATCATCGCTTTGCGACGGCAAGCCGCGGCTGGGGTTTTGGTGCGCGGCTGCGACGAGGCGGGACGTTTCGCTGCGACAACCCACCGTTATTTTCCCGACAGACTGATAGAAAAAGCATGCTACGCAGCGATTTTGTTTGAAAAATCAAATGCATTGTGCAGTTCACCTTCTTGCACTTCCTGCACAGTGCAATTTTATAATACGAAAAGTCCATGCACTTTATGAAAATGCTAATAGACGAACCAAAAATTCTTGGTTTTGCACTGCGCCTTTGAAGTATCGCTGTGACGTAAGCTTCTCAACTGCGGGTTGCTCAAAAATATGCACAGAGCAATCGGATTTTTTGAAGCTTGCATCATGCGCAAAGGCAAAAATCTACAGTGTTTTGACGATGAAAATTCAAGATGAACTGTGTACTGTCTGAAAGCGAAAAAATGTCCATGCACTTTGTGATGGACAACCGGCTGAGTCCCCATATAACGAAAGACAACGGCAAGGAGATTTGGTAGTCGAGAGACGAGAGGATAACGGCAAAGAGTAGTCGACCGGTCAAGACGGAGAGTTTATTCCTCAAAAGACAAAAAAGAATGAGACAAAAAGTGTATTCTTGTGGCTTTTATAGCCGAATCCATTATGCAAATTTGGCACTATCGCCAACAAAATGCTAATATTGAAAGTGACCGAAAATCCGTCAACCTTCTGTCTGATTGAAGAATTTCTCACCTCTACTAGCAATGATCTAGCCGCAATTTTTGAAATTAACATACAGCCCGCATGGGGCTGTAGTGACGGATTTCAAGCCTCTTATTTACTAAATACCTTCAAAAAATCTAAAACTCATAAACTCATAACATCTCCCAAAATCATCGCCCTCCAAAAAAACAACAAATACGTACGGCGGCATGTGGCTGCGCTCTGCACGAGAGCCGCTGAGCGATTTTACGTAAGCGTTACGGAGGGCTCTCGAAGGATGGTTAATTAGTTATTAGCCAGCGGAATCCTCGTTAAAAAGGCGTTCCGAGCCCCCAAACTCTTTAGATTCTAGAACTCCTTTTCTATGGCGACTGGAAAAGCGATACTCTGGGGCTGTTTTGTATGCAGCAAAGGTGGCAAATTCGCAGTGAGTTTTGTTGTTTATTCAAATTATACTAGAAGGGAGAAAAAGTCGTGATATAAAAAATAGGCTAGGCTCGCTTCTATTAGCATTTTCATAAAGTGCATGGACATTTCTAATGTTCATTTCGTTCAATTCGCGCGATCCGGGTAGTTTATTTTTTATGATATATTTTTTTTATTCTTTACTTGACAATGACGTTATGTACAAACAAAAACAATAAAGTTAAAAAAAAATTCTTCAGCCTGTCGGGAAAATAATAAGCACAATTTCGCATCGAAAATCTTGTCGTTCAATTAAAAAAAGCAGTTTGATTTTGTCGCGACACAATTCATTTTTCCCGTGGGCGATGCGATTTTCGATGTTCATTATTTTCCCGACAGACTGATAAAATAAAAAATAATATAAAAAAGTAATGGACTTTAACAATAAAGTAGTTTTTTTAAAACGAAACAAATATTATGCCGCAAAAATTATGGCGATTTTAGTTCTCAAATTTTTTACGATTTACAAGGGAAGCACCCCAAATGCGACGCTCAGATCTTGATGAGACTTGGTAAACATTTAGAATGATTTTTTCTAGAGCATATACGAGACTTTTAGCTAGGCAATTGATTTTTTAGTTGAGATTTGAAAGAAAAGGAAAAATTTTTTTGCGAATTTTGGCACAAAAAATATCGTATCTATTTCTACTGTACAGAGTAATATTTCCACAAAAAATCAATTTTTTCCGCGCAAAACTGCCAAAGATACGGCCAAAAAGAGCTTTTGTCTGACCGCTCTCCGCATTTCGCCTACTCTCTCGGCCGCAAAGATCGTTGAATATCTCAGCCGCGCTTGCAAAGGGCGAGCTAAAATTTTCAGCAATTAATACGTGCCCCATGCCCAAATTGTACGTAAAATTTGAGGAAAATCCGAGCGTCGCACTCGGAGTACTGTAAACTTTTCCCTATACGCTGTTTGATGATATTATACTTGGTCATGGCTCCTCAAACCGCCGTCTTTCCGTACATTTGATGTCGATAAAGGGGAGCCAGCTCTCGGATGGGCAACTCATCGTCGCCATCGCCGCGGCGGACCGCCTGATACGCCGTGATGACGCTGAGAATGAAGACGAAAAAGTGGAGGATGACGCCGATGGTGTAGAAGTAAAATGCAGATCCGATTGATTGCTGGAATAGAAATTATGAAAAGTAGAAATGATGGTGGTAAATAAAAAGCTTTAAAAAGGCAAAAAAAGAAGTTGACTTACCTCATACGTGGCAACCAGCCCTTGAACAAACCGGGCGTCCACTCGATGCGCCGCAAAGAAGAAGATCGCAACGGCGCAGGCTCCGCCAAACCCTGCAGTAAAAATATATCATTTTTGCCAACCACATGATTTATATTGAATATCGAAAGTACTATTAGTCTGTCGGGAAAATAATGAGCACTGTCGGATCGAAAATCGCATCGCCGCCGAGAAAATGAATTGTGTCGCTGTCAAATCAAATTGCTTTTCAGTTCATCGACACAATGCTCATTATTTTCCCGACATACTGACATTTATTTTTTCAGTGAGCCTGCGCAAGACAATACTTGTCTATAACAAGCATTTTTAGAAGCCAACAGAGCGAATTTTATGCAACAACCGACCTCCGTACCACAAAACCCATCTTCATGCAACGCTTTGTCAAAAATGCGCAGACTTTTTGTGGCGCCGTGCAAAAGCTCTTATTTTGCACCGTACAACGGAAACATCGCGAAACAAGAATCATCATCAACTGAGATTTTGTAACGGGCACTTCACTATCAGTCTGCCGGGAGAATAATGTGGATTGTACTTAAAACGCATACATCTAATGCTATTTTCATTATGGTAACCGCGCGACCTGAGAAACCACCCTCAAAAAGATTTTATACGCAAAAGTGTGTACATCGTGATATTCACCATGACGCCTGATACAAGGAACGTGCGGACAGCGTCATAAGCTCTAATTCAGTGGAAAGATATTTAAAAACAGAGCACCCAGTAGATTTATTAAAAAGTGTGGTTGCAAAGGTGCAGCCTCACTTAACAAAGAACGGGATCGGTTTCCTAACGCTTCCCAAAACTGGATGATATTAAAGAATGTTAAGTATTTGCCCGGTGGCCACGTGGTTAGAAATGAGACGTTCAATCTTAAACCCAAAAATTTGCAAGACTTATGGGACACCCTAATATGTTGCCTTTTGACGCAGTCGCGCGCCAAACCTCCATCTAGCCGTCGCAAGGCAATCATGGGCGATTCAAAGGGGCGACAAATCCATATTATTTTCCCGACAAAATGGTCTTTTTCTCATTTTTTTCACGCGAACCTCAGGAGGACATATTTTACCCTAAATATTGTGAAGCCCATTCAAACTGAAGAACTTACAAGTTGTGAAATTCAAGAACGCGTAGATCAGCGCGTAGGCCGGCGCACACGGCGAACAGAACCCCACCATGACGGCCATGCAGCCCGCCCCGAACGACAGCACAATGAAGAGGAGGACGGCCTTGTGCCAGCCGTAGAAGTGATGATGTTCCGCTTCGGCGGCGGACGAGTGCGCATCCGCATCGCGTTGGCTCTCGTCTAGCACCTGAGCCGCGTTTTGATCAAACTTGTAGGTGCAGTGGAGAGGACTTTTGTCGACCAGTCGATTCGGCGACATGAAAGCGCGATCGGCGCGGGTGCAATCGAGCCACAGGCCGTGCTGAAAATTGAAGAATTTGAAATATAAGTCGCAACGTTGGAATGTCTGGATAATAGGCGGGATTTTTCAAAATTATTTTTAAAAGAACATATTTTTAAAACAAAAAAAGCGCTAAAATCTTACATGATGTTCCGCCTGGAACTCCCGAATGTCCACAACTTGCCATGACGGACTCAGCGCTCCAATGGCGTTCAAAATCAGCCCCGTGACCAGCAGGAAGAGTGATATGACCACTGCGATCACTCGAGTAAATCGGGCCGCATTGGAGGCCGACATTCGTGCACTTGCTCAGAGTGCAAAGTGTGGCACAAAAATGGGGGGAAATGAGATCAAATGCAGTGGAAATGCCCTGGAAATTGTCGTTTAGAACTTGTGGTATGTATGTTTATGTGTAAAAAAATCAGACGTAGTCAAGTGCAAGGTAAAGAGGCGTAAATGATGGGACATTTAGGACACATATAAAGACAAAAATTATGAGTATTTAGGACACATATACATGTATATGTACATGATACGTTATTAAATATAATGTAAGTGGAAAAAATAACAGTAATCAGCTTTTGATTTGTAAAGAAGTATAAAAAACAGAGTATTATAAGCCTTTGAGATTACATAAACCAGAAGTCAGGGATTAGAAAACAGTCTAAAAACACACATCAAAAGGCTCTATGTACAACAACAAAGACGCAGAAACTATGACTTGAATCTCACGGAAAAAACTTGCATCGTGATTTTAAAAGGCCTCCTAGTGAATTTGAAGCCTCCTTAATTCTTGTGAGTCTGTCGGGAAAATAATGTGGACTTGTCGCGCCTTGGAATCGCCCATCATCGCTTTGCAACGACTAGCCGCGGCTGGAGATTTGAAGCGCGAAGCGACGAGACTTTTTGCTACGACAAATCCATATTATTTTCCCGACAGGTTTATATCAGTCTGTCGGGAAAATTATGAGCAAAATTTTGTTCCGACGACTATGTCGCTGAAGCGAAAAGAAATTCGATTTTTCCGCAACACAATTTATTTTCTCGGCGCCGATGCGATTTTCAATGCGACAGGGTGCTCATTATTTTCCCGACAGACTGATAGCTCGCTTGTAAAGCCGTGCCGGTGAGTTCGGCGACATAGACTATGCAAAAAATGTCAAGATGCGAGTGGCAGCCAAAAGCCAAAGAAAGCCTTTTGCACGGTGCGAAGACCAAGAAATTGCACAGTGCAAGGTGAACTTTTGTTTTCGCACAGTGCGTGTCGCCGAAATGACTTCTTGATGTTGGGTTTCTTTGTGTTTGCACTGTGCAAAAAACGTCAGGGTGCAAGCGACAGCCAGAAAAAGCCTATTGCACGGTGCTAAAATGATGAAATTGCACGGTGCAAAGCGAAAATATTTGTTCTTCAATTTTGAACTTATACTGTCGGGAAAATAATGTGGATTTGTCGAAGCAAAATATCTTGTCTCGGCGCCCACGAAATGCCCAGCTGCAGCAAGCCCTCCAAAAGCGATGATGGGCAATTTGAAGGCGCAAAAAATCTACATTATTTTCCCGACAAGTTGATATTTATTTTGTAAAATACGCCGTCGTAAACTATACGATATATTAAGTCACCAAACATCCGCCTCTTCAAACCCCCAGACATCAAAAAGTCAACAAGCCCGCGACAAAACTGAACCCTGTAATTTGGAAAAGTCTTGGAGGGAAACCAATTGTCGAGTATACGTATTATATTTGGAGTCAACGGGAAAGGGATTAAAAACGCAAAATGACCTGGATTCAGGCGGGAAAAGCGCACGGAAGCCGGCGTTTGCGCAATAAAAAACAATTGGGAATGGGAAATTTGGATATTACATATAATAGAGAATGGAGCATGGCACTGTGCAGAACGAAAAAATTGGGGAAAAAATATTTGAGATTATTTGTAAAATACGAGCTACTAGTTTTTCCATCAAGTGCGTAGACATTTTTTTCGCTTTTTATCGCGAACGCACCGTGCATTTCGCATTTTTCTTCTATTTCTCGCGCACAGTGCAGTTCGATTTTTTTCGCACCGTGCAAACATGAAAAAAGCGGTTCGCACTGTGCGAATCGGCGATATTTTGATGCACGATGCGAGAATTTTCAAAAAATGGAATGCACTGTGCAAAATTGGAGATTTTCGCCAGGAGGCAACAAGCCTACGCACTTTATGAAAATGCTGGAAGTAGGTGTTTTTGCCTTTTTTTATGAGCAAATAGACTAAAAAACGGGGAAAATCAAAAAAAAAAAAAAAAAAACAAAAACAAAAACAAATTTCAAACTTCCTCTAAATTTGCCACAAATTTTCGGCCTACCCCTACAGATACATTTCTAAAAATTTTTAGCTTACCTTTCACCAGCCCAGCCGAGATATTAAACGATCTTTGCGGCCCAGAGAGCCGCCCGCACCGTGCACAAAAAAACCCCAGTTTCGCACCGTGAATTTCGAAAAAAAAGAAAAAAAATTGCACTGTGCGGTGAAATATCGCTGCGACATAAGCAAGTTTCAACTCCGTCGCTGCGGAGGAATTTGCACAGTGCAAACGGCTTTTTTGAGGTTTGCACTGTGCAAAAGAGAAAAACAAAAATGCACTGTGCGTTGGCGACAAGTGTGGGAAAAGATTGAAAACGCACTGTGCGAAAACGAAAATGCACTGTGCGTTGGCGACAAGCGTGGGAAAAGATTCAAAATGCACTGTGCAAAAAAGAAAATGCACTAATGCACTGTGCGAAAAGGAAAATGCACTGTGCTTTGGCGACAAGCGTGGGAAAAGGTTCAAAATGCACTGTGCAAAAAAGAAAATGCACTAATGCACTGTGCGAAAAGGAAAATGCACTGTGCTTTGGCGACAAGCGTGGGAAAAGGTTCAAAATGCACTGTGCAAAAAAGGAAAAATGTCCATGCACTTTATGAAAATAATAATATCACTACTCTTCTCCAAATCTCATCAAAAAAATCATTCATCAAAAATATGTCGTATTTCACCCCCATCACCCCCAATTTTACTACAAAAACATTGACTTAAACCCAACGAATACCCCCTTCACAACAGAGTGCACCCATTTTTTCGACCGTTCACTTTTTTGGTCAGCGCGCAAAAGGATCGCTGCGTCGTTTCCCCTCTTGTTGTCGCTAGAATTTTTTCGGCATGGAGCTGTTCAAGGTCGTTTACCGAGTGGGGAAAACGAGGTTTTCGGGTGAAGGGAGAAATGGGAAAGCCGAGGGAGAAACTCGTACAGGAAAAAGTGCAGGCTGCTTGTCATATTTTCGGTTGTTTGGGATGATAAAAGGCTTTCTGGTGGATTTATAGGCTGAGGATTTATAGGACGACCTTTTAAGGGCCAGAAACCGTGAAAGATGGGGTGCAAATGCGAAAATTGGCTCATTTATGGAAATTAAAATAGCTTACTAACAGTCTGTCGGGAAAATAATGAGCACTCTTTTACTATGAAAATCGCATTTTTGTCGCGATAAAATCAAACTTCTTTTTACTTCAGTGACATGATTGGCGCAACGAAAATGTGCTCGTTATTTTCCCGACAGACTGATTGTGTATTTTCATAAAGTGCATGGACATTTTTTGCAGTCCGCACTGCACAAAAACCCCCACATTTTGCACCGTGCATCTCACTTGTTTCGCTTTCGCACTGTGCATCGAAATATCGCTGCGACAGAAGCAAGTTTCGACTTTGCGACAAGAATTTGCACAGTGCAAACGGATTTTTCTGAGGTTCGCACGGTGCGAAAAAAATAAAGAGAAAAATGCACTGTGCGTTGGCGACAAGCGTGGGAAAAAATAAATGCACTGTGCGAAAAAAAATTTTTAAAGTGCACTGTGCGAAAGCGACAAGCGTGCGAAAAAGCTCAAAATGCACTGTGCAAAAAAACAGAAATCTCTGCACAGTGCAAACGGATTTTTCTGAGATTTGCACGGTGCGAAAAAAGAAAAATTCGAATTGCACTGTGCGAAAGCGACAAGCGTGCGAAAAAGCTCAAAATGCACAGTGCGGAAGAGAGGTGTATGTCGATGCACTTTATGGAACTAAAAAATTGCTTATTCTCCCCTAAAATTGTAAAAATCTCAATTTTAAATGGCCCCCGACAGCTCTAGATTGCCCCATGAAAAGCTCCCGGAAAGATTCGCGGAGCTGAAAGGAAATTCCGTATTTTTTTGCGTGAATAATATCAAAAGAGCAGTCAGCCTTAAAATGAAAAGAAGAGTAGTATTGCAAGAAATACGATGAACTCGTAAATATTTTCCCCATTAAACCAGTGAACGGGATAATGAAAGCATGAGAGTATCCCTGCCCTTTTAAGGATCAAGTAAAGAAACGGACGACTATATGTATGTACAAATATATTAGTCTGTCGGGAAAACCGATATATCTCATTATTTAGATGTAACAACAAGGGAGTAGAAGGCTTTGTTATCAGTCTGTCGGGAAAATAATGTGGATTGGTTGCAGCAAAATTTCTCGCGTCGCAGCTGTCGCGTAACAAGTCACCAGCCAAGGTGTCGCAAGGCAAAGAAAGGCCATTTCCAAGGCGCGACAAATCCATATTATTTTCTGTCGCAAAGTGATGAAAGGACATTCCAAGGCGCGACGAATCCCCATTATTTTGCTCAGTCTGTCGGGAAAATAATGTGGATTTGTTGCAGCAAAATTTCTCGCGTCGTAGCTGTCCCGTAACAAGTCTCCAGCCATGGTGCCGCACATCAGATACAAACGGAATGCCAAGGATTTTTGGCATTTATTTTTTTAAATTTTTTTTATGGACCTCGGGAAAATTGATAGTTTACAAGGTATGATCGCGGCATTCTTCCAAACTATGAACCAAACTAAAGAAAAGACAGCTACCTATCTTTAAAAATTAATTGCGGGTATGGCGACCTCATGGGAACCCTGCAAAAACGTTGCTAAATTTGGAATTTTTGAAAACGCTGATCCGAATTTTGCCAAGACGCAACTTATATCAAAGAATCTGATTTGGAGGAGTTATCAATAATGTTATTTTCTTTCTATACGACAAGTTTCGGCAGAATTGGTCTGGAAGTTTTGGAGATGATGGCGAAAGACATCAAACTGGGTATATCTAAAAAAATTTTCGATTTAGCAGCGGTGAAGGCTGCTCACTGGATGTAAATATTCATTGTAGGGTATCTCACTTTCTAAAACCTTCCGTCAGACCCAAAAATACCAAATTAAATGACATTTTGCCATCAATTTAGCATGGATAACATACGTCTTCACATGTTCATATTCGCGTT